CAGGTATAGTTCGTCAGAAGAGCCTTTTTGTCTAATAGGTGTAGGCATTATTTAGGATATGGAGGGACAAAGCTGACAGGGAATTGTCATGTGGTGCTTAGTTTTTTTTCGAATCATTCGATTTTGTAGCGAAACGTTTAGCTGGAACCCAAAACGTAGTCAAACAAACGTTGGCTTTGAGAAGGAAAACTTGGAATCTGAGTGAGGGGAATTTGAACAGCGATGAGATGGAGTTTCTCATAAGCATTTTTACGTCGAGGCCTTTGTCACCTGCATATATCCAATCGCTGAATTTGAGCTACAACAATTTTGCAAATCTACCTGGTTTTTATTTGTTCCCATTGGAGACCTTGACGCGCTTAGAAGTGAAAGACAACAGATTGTCCTTTCTGCCTACAAGTATGAGATGCTTGAAAGGACTTCAAGAGGTGGACTTGAGAAATAACCAACTGAAGAAACTTGATGTGGTTAGAGAACTGCCTAAACTTAGAAAACTATTTGTTGAAGGAAATCCGCTCTCACTAAAAGAGATCAGAAGTCTTATGAAGCATGTGGATACGACTACAAGAACGATCTTCGTAGACATTGCAGGTAGTGTTACATGTATATGTGGCAATAAATCTTTTCCATACTCGAGCCTGTCGTTCCGTCGTCGCGTAGGGATCCAAATTGGCGTATACAGTAGACTCTCGTTATTGAACAAACCCAAGGGGGGGGGGGGGGGGCGGGGCGGAGAGGCGGGTTGGGGGAAGCTTTCGCGTCCATAAGAGCGAGGGTCTGTAAGAGCGGAGTACGAGAGAAAATAATTGTTTTGTCTTGTAACATATGAGATAATATGTAACTGCGCAAAAATAAAGTTTCTAACATGGCCTCACGAACCGGAAAAAGATCTGGCCGCTAATTTTTATGTTCGCACCCAACTGGAGAATGATTTCTTTCTTTTCCTTTATAGTAATGTCGCTTCATAGTGTGTGAGTCAGGATTTTAGACGAAGTGTCCGCTATAACAAGAGAAAAAAACAAGCGAAATGTCGCGCGGGGGGTTATGAAAGTGTCCGCATTTCCGCAATAGCGAGAGTCTGTAATAGCGGGAGCATATTTCAGTCATTTCTTTGTGCGTTTCTCCGGGGGATGCCTCTTGTCTGCAATGGTAGGGTGTCAGTAATAGCGAGGTGTCCGTAGGGCGAGAGTCGATTGTACACTTAAAAATGCAACCTTCGCTTACTCTTTTATTTATTATGATGATTGATGCTAATATGAATCGTTGCAAGCTTCGTCTGATAATCCCTTTGTGGGCATGTTTAATTCAAATTTGCCAACCAATCGTTCTGGCTCTAGAGTCTCGGGGTGTGCACTTGAAAAAAGCGTAACCGTCGGAAGCAGGCTGGTTTTGTTGCTGAATGCAGTGTTCGTGTACTTCACAAATTTAGAAACCTTTTTCCAGACATTTAAAATTAAAAATGGTACAATAGAACCAGGCTTGAAGGCTCACTATACAAGAAAGATGAAAAATCCCGTCACTATTTTACGACAAGAAAATGTTGAGGAAGTCTTATGTGACAGACTTAGCTGAAATTTTGAAAAAAATCATTTTCTCTTCTACCGAAAACATTTAATCTTCCAACAGTTGATACGACTTTCATGGTAGTTAATTTTAGTAATGAGCTCCTTGTATTACATGTATCACCCTCCCCTTAACAATTAGTTCATACGTCAGCGTGCGTTCATCGAGATATGAAGCACGCGGGAAGTTTGTAGAGTACGAAAGATCCCAAGTGCTTCATATCTCGATGAACGCACAGCTGATGTATGAAGCAATTGTCTTAAAACATTTTCAACCCGATGGTTTAAATGTTGTAAAAGGGTTACTACTCCCTCTGCTACGCTTCAGCGCGTTGATAATTTTGTTTCAGGAAAACATTTCGCTACGCTGTAAATGATCTTGTCTTAGATTGGTCAAAAAACTGAAAGGTTAATTCATGCGTGTAAATGAACTTTATTTTCTAATTGAATACAAAATTCTCTCATTACAAAGAAAAAAAAAGATGCTGTTTGTTGGCTGACGTCATGAGCGTGCACAATAGGAATATGAAGCACGCTCACGCAATTGAATTTGATTAGACAAAGTTACTACCTATGTCATAAAAGGTCATGATGTATCATAGAAATGTTCTTTGTTTCTCACTTTACTGTTCTACAATAGGCAATTAGTGCAATATTACATTTTCCTTTTCCCTCACTTGCAGCTGTAGCTCCTCCTGAAATTTTGGCGCAAGGACATTCCGCAAGACTGGTTTATGAAGAGGCCCTTAAAGATGGATATGTGAATGTTTATCGCGGTCGCATAGTCTTGGTTGGCCAGGATCGTGCCGGTAAAACAAGTTTAAAGAAGACTCTCTTAGGTCTTCCATTTGACTTCAAGGAACAGAGTACGGGCGGGATCGAAATTGAGCCATCAAAGTTCGAAATTGAAGTTGAGCAAATTAAGAACTGGACTCCTAGTTGTGCGAACGAGTCAAGTTTGTCTGATTGTTCGGAATATACAACGGGTATGGCAAAACTGTTAGCGACAGAAAGGTATCACATGATTTTTCATGATGACAAGGAAGACTCGGAAATGAAATCCGTAGGGGCACGGCCTAAGGAAGAACGCAGAGTGGAGTCAGGAGATGAATTGCACACAAAACATGTTGTCGCCGATGAGGTCCGTTTACTATGTTTTTACTCTGAAACCCGACTTTTTATGAATGATCTCAAACGAATTCACACATTTAATGCTCATTTCATTGTTTTGACATAACGAGATAGATCGACATCTACTTTGCAAATGAAGATGCATGAACAGTATTAATATTTCGTCTTATTTCAAAATGTTAGGCCTCCATGTACGAGGATACGGCCACAAAGTTTCCAGATAGATCCAGGCCATCAAGCGAATTTCATGAAGGAGATAATCCAAGCACAAAGTCCAAAATAGCTATCAACGCCACCGTACTTTCTAATGCCGTTGAAAAACAGGCTGATGAACTCTTAAAGAACATGATCGTTGAAGGTGTGGATGCTGATCGTGCATACATCGAGAAAGGATCCTCGATAACCGCAGATTTGTGGGATTTTGCGGGTCAGCACGTGTACTATGCTGCTCACTCGGTATTTCTTTCGTCAAGAGCTGTGTACATCGTAGTTCACAACCTTAACAAGCCACTGAATGCCCGAGCTCAGCCATGTGCCAGACAGGGAACTCATGAAGTAACTTTGGAGAACCCGAACAATGAGACAAATCTAGAAAATCTGCTGTCGTGGCTTGTGACAGTTCATAATATGAGACCAACTGGAGAAGAAATGGTTGAAACGCCTAACGTGCTGCCCTATCTCCGACCTCCAGTGTTCATTGTTGGCACCCATGCTGACAAGCCATATGAAGATACTAAGGATGTTACTTCCAAGATACTTCGTGAGATTTCCAGTAAGGAATATGGAAAACATGTGATCCGACCATTCTTCTACATTGATAACACTCACAGAGACAAATCATTCGCGCGGAAATTCTGGAATTTCTTTAAATTTCAAAGAAATGCTCAAGCAGGTAAATCATGTGTTTGGGTTCAAAATGATCTGTTAATGAAGTTGGGTTTACTTTTATTTCTATCGCGAACAGACAAACTTATCGTTAGATAAAGTTGATTGGATTCACTAGAGATTTACCGGTTCCTTTTCCACATCTTATTGCTAGCATCCGTTTGTCCCAATCTGGATATTTATCTACTTTTGATGTTGGCACCTTGTTAGTGCTTCGGTTATTCTTTTTAGTATGTATTTACTCTATTTTCTTTTGTTGTTGTTAACCTGGATTGCATATGTAAATACTATTGCGAATGCTTTCGCTGACCAAATTATCTTCAACAAGTGAAATTTATAATACATTGCAAAGATAGTGACTCAAAGTGCTGCAGCAGAAATAGACCTTTCCCAATACGAAACTGGGGATCATTGTCTTAGTTGCCATCAAACTCGTATCGAAAGTCCAAGGAGAAATCTCTGCCCCACCGTGGCTTCTCTCAACAGCACTAATTGTTTCACACAATTTATAATTGAAAGGTCAAGAAGGAGAAAATGATGGCACTAGTGCCGATGGAATTCAAGCTCTTCGAGCGAGAATCCTGGAAGTACTTCGACAGGAACCTTATATGGGAGAGAAGATACCAGTGAGGTGAAGTACTGATGTATAATATTATAAAAGAGATGTTCAGCTCATTTTTTTTCTAACAATAGCTGTACTGAAACGTACGAGTGGCGTTCACAGCCGGTTCCGCTGCTTGTCGAGTTCGCTACGTTCGAGTTTGCTACATGTTTGCTACTTACATGCCGAATTCGCTACTTCATCCTACCATTCTATGCTCACACTATTAGCATAATTTACCAATTCCCACAAACGATTTACGGGAACTTTTGCGGCTCATACTTGAAGAAACTTCTTTCAGGTTCGACGAAAGATTATTCATACAAACACATGGCATCGCCATGGGAACTAACACACCAGCTGCTTTATCTGCTACTTTATGGCAGACCTAGAAAAACGACTGTTAATGGCTAGCCCCTCTAACCTTTGGTCTGGAACAGATTTATTGATGAAATTTTTTCATTGTGGGACATTTCTATGAAAGAAGCTTACAATTTTGTTGACCTCGCCAATTCGTTCCACCCCACAGTCAGGTTTACTGTGAAACGTAACCTCGCAACAATCAAAAAAATCAACGAGGCGGTTAAAAGCAAACTAGAAGGAAATTTGCACATGATCAGTTTAACTGACTCCTAAAAACGTCAATCACGCAATTGGGAGTATAAATTACAGATATTGCTTGTTGTTTACTGTTAAAAGAGAAATTAAAAATCTTAATCAACAGAGGCAGCGAATTCGGCATGTTATCAAGGCATATTCTAAAGTTACATTTAGAAATTTCCAAACTTTTCTTCATGCAATTTGCTATCTGATGTATATCTTTATGTAAGTTAGGACTGATTATAATTTCTTTTTATATGTCTAGATGGTTCAACTTCGAAAAGGTCATTGAAGCTTTAGTAGCTAAGAATGTATACCACACAAATACTGTCCATCTTCAAACCTATGCCAAGGATGTGTGTTTCATAGAAGACGATGAACAGTTTTACACCATGTTGAATTTCTATCACGACTTAGGAATGATTGTGAAACATCGCAGTACAGTCATTCTCAAGGCGCAGTGGTTAATCAGTCTATTCAAGAAGCTTATAACCATCCCAGCATTCAAGAAAGCGGTAGGAAAAATAATCTTTTATGCATCGAGATGATTACAGATAGCAGGACTTGTTACCTTCCTCCCACTTGCGCTTCACGAAAAAATATTAATTTGATTGTCTGTTTGTTTGTTCGTTTTTTCACATTGTTGGCACCTTTTACGACATTTTGAGTTTTCTCTATAACTTTCATGTGTCTTCCCCTCTCCTCCATTTCAATATTGCCTGATATCAACAATATGGTCCCTAATATAATGCGACATTGTTTGGGGGGTGGGGAGGTAAGGGGGACATTAATTAACTAATAAGAAATGAATTACAAGATATTTTTAATCATGTTGAGTGGACGTATACTGTCCACCTACCAAGGGATGGCGAGCCAACTACTTTGCCCACGCATTGTACCCTTAGTAATGAGGAAAGAGGAGATTTTTTGGTCCAATGCAAAATAAATAGGGTATTTTTAAAGAACAATTAGTAGATTGAACTTACTTTAAATAGGGAATTTGTGGTTTCAGGATCCTGTGCATTCCAAGTACTGGCTGGAACTCGAGAGAAGTGGTGTCCTTAGGATGGAGCTTGTTGATCACGTTTTCTCCCCTCTTATTCAGCAAGGCGTCAACAAGGAAGACATCTTGGACATGATGGAGCAGTTCTGTTTGATTGCCAAATACTCACCATCTCCGGCTGACGTTCAGTACTTTGTACCATGTCAACTGAGGTCCTCGCCTGAAGAGCTTTGTAAATTTGAGCCATCATCTACGGATCCTTGTCCTTTGTATCTTCATTTCCAAGAAGGCTTTGTCCCGCATGGTCTTTTTACTCGCCTTGTTTCAAAATCGGTTGCTTGGTGTGGTGCAAGTGGATCGTCACAGCCTCCAAAACTCTACCAGAATGGTGCATGGTTCGTTCTTGAAGGACGCTTCATTAATGATATGATTATGATTTGCAAGAAGAAGTTCATAAAAATCCTCTTGAGACAAAGAATGAAAAATGACGCAGTTCCATTGTCTAATTCAACTTTGGCAGAGGTTGCTAGAAGTGTGCGATTGTTTATAGAGAGCAGTTTAGAAAAGATGTCACAGGAGTTCCCATACTTGAGCAGGATGCAGCATGAATTTTGTGTTGAATGCCCCTACTGTCAGCAAAGCGGTCGCAAGTGCGTAAACCACAACCAAGTGTCCTGTGGAGAAGAAGACTGCTTACACCTGCTTGAATTAAGACAAGGTCAGGATTTGATCTGCATGGAAAGCATGTCTAATAAAGTACTTACAGTTCCTGGACAAGAAAAATGGTTGTTGTACCAGGTATGAAGCATTCTTGGTATATCTTTATAAGTAGTAACGGAAACCAATTAAGAAGAGATTATGATGGCTGTTATGCTTAAGTTGTGCGATGGCAGTCGTATGAATCGGAATACCCAATTTAGAAAATATTTGTACAGATTGAGATATCATAGTGTCATAGATCCTAAAGTGATTCAGCAATGGAAATGCTGTATGAAGTTGTATGTTTTGCAATTGCGTAACTAACTTTTGGGTGATTCAAGACATGTTTGAACGCATTCAACCAGTTCGTTTCGTTCTGTCTGGTTTATACTTTCGTGAAGGGAGTAGTTTTTTTCAGTTAAAACGATTTTTATATATCGTTCTTGGAAAATGACATACGTTTCCTGTATAATGATGTTTTGATGTCATCATCCAAAAGGATTTGGCTCCGTCAGTGACAAGAACCTCACAAGTTGCATCAGTACGTGGTCACCCAGCAAAGTGCGACAAAACTTTGAAAGTTACTCTTCTGGCCAGTGAGTGGAATTCATCAAGGGGGGGTTTGTCCACCATCAACAGACACCTTGCCATCCTTATGGCCAAACGTAGCGAGGTGCAAGTCACTCTCTTGGTCCCACAATTTGCTTGTTCTGAAGAAGAGAAGAGAGCTGCAGAAAGTCACAAGATTGTCATCAAAGAAGCAGAGAGACGTCCAGGCTATGACCCTCTTGACTGGTTGAGCTTCCCTCCGGAAGACCTGATAATTGACGTGGTTGTGGGTCATGGAGCCAAGTTAGGTAAGCAAGCCCAAATCATCAGGAAGTACCATAGTTGCCAGTGGGTACAAGTAGTGCATACTGCGCCTGAAGAGCTCGGAATGTTCAAAAACTATCCGAGAGCCATTGCCAGAGGAGAAGAGAAGACTACAGCCGAAGTAGATTTGTGTAAATTGGCAAATCTAGTTGTAGCGGTGGGACCCAAGTTGACGGAGGCCTACTCTGCCTATCTTCGCTCATGTGAAAAGCAGCAAGATATTATGTCGTTCACTCCTGGTACATTCAAAGAGTTTTCTACTCTAAATCAAGCCTCAGTTGACTCTGAAAAGTTTAGGGTGTTGACCTTTGGTCGTGGTGACCCTGAGGACTTCGGTCTTAAAGGGTTTGATATCGCTGCTAAAGCAGTGGTTGAGCTGAAAGACAACTCCTACCATTTGATCTTTGTGGGTGCACCTGATGAAAAACAGGAGGCAGTTACGGAAAATTTGTTGCAGAATGGTATTTCTAAACGTCAGCTGACAGTGAGAGGGTTTTTGCAAAGCAAAGAGAAATTGAAAGATTGTTTTTGTGAAGTTGATCTCTGTATCATGCCATCCCGCACGGAAGGGTTCGGCTTAACCGCGTTGGAAGCCTTGTCAGCTGGTCTTCCCATTCTTGTAAGTGGAAACTCAGGTTTCGGAGACGCTCTGCGCTCTGTACCATCCGGCAAATCTTTTGTGGTTGATTCTGAGGACCCCAAGGTGTGGGCTGAGGCAATTGCTGTTGTCCGAAAGAAGAAGAGACCAGAGCGTCTTAAAGAGATTGAACGACTGAGAGCATCTTATGAGGAGCAGTTCAGCTGGAAGAAACAATGTGACCTTCTTGTTGATAAGATGTGGGACAAAGTTGATGGCGCAGGTATGTTGATGATTTTTCTATTTCTTTCCGTAGACTTGTCTTTGGTTGTGGTATTCCAAATTTATCCTGTCATTGACGTGAATACATCTTGTACCTCAAAATAGGTTTTTATAATATAATATGAAAGAGAATTTGTAAATTTTGGTGTAAATCACCAATGTTCGCCAAAAAGGAAATGGTTTGTACAAACTGATAAGAGTGAATAGGAAAAAGCAAAAGAAATGAACCTGTAAAACCACTTTTACCCATCCCAAGTTTCATGATCTTTTTTGATATGAGTGTATTCCAAAAAGTTAATGTTTTAATGTTAATGTCATAAGGTCAGGTCAAAAGTTATCTGCTCCGGTTATTAACAAGCAATTATTGCTTTCTTTGCAACATAATTATTTTTTTAACGAAAAAAAGGAAAAACGTAGCAATGAAGAATGTTAAAAGACAAGTCTAGAATATTACCCGCGACGTTTTATCCCAATACTGTTTCCCATTCTCAAATAAAGAGACAGTATTTGGTAAATATATATCAAGTCATTGGCCTGTCTTCCGAAGGACTTGACTGTGAACTCCTCGTACTTTTTAATTTTTAAAGTCGTCCCTTGCAGCTAAAAGAAGAGCAATTTGCGTTCTCATGAAATATTTTTCCCTATATGATCCTACTGATAAGGAAAGATCTCGTTCATTTGAGGGCACCGCCCTTGATAAAAAAGAGGTCTGAGTACCCGATTGGATAAGTGTCGCTCTCACCCCTGATTTGGGCGGATATTTCTTCACTAACAGTGAGTTCGGGCAGAGTTAGATCATATACAAGTTTCACGCAGCTTGCTATGACGATACCGATGGAGTTCTCAGTGGGTTAAAAAATATTCACGGTGAACTGAAATTCTGTCTTTTATGTGATTTTTTCTTCTTTTTAGCTGAAACCTTCCCTTCCATCTACATTGCATGATTCAAGGAAATTCACTAAAAATTATTTTGGTTCTAGGGCTGCTTGAACGAACTATTCAGAATCTTCAGGGGATGCAACTCTGCGCAAGCACGGTTAACAACAGCACTACCTTGACAGAAGAGTTAACGACGATTGTATCAGATAAGGGCCTCAGAATTTCTGACAATCAAGGGTCAGGAAACTGTATGTTCCATGCCTTGTCAGAACAACTAGAAATCGTAAAAGGAATCAAAATCCAACATGGCCAGCTGAGACAGTCTTTAGTTCAGTACCTCATGGAAAACCCAAAACTGGTGAGTTGCTGTAATTCTCATAAATAAAAAGAACTAGAGGTTGATCAGTAGTTTTGGCTACTGTGTTTCTTTCTCTCTCCGTTACGCGAAGTGCTACTCGTCCTTGCTAGGATACTAGTCCCTTTCACACCAGATTTCTTCAAGCATTTTTTGAGGTTGGCCTGACAATTGTTCCACAACTTTTCCACTCGTGGAGAGAGGCACTTTGACAGTGAGGTGTCTTCTCCTAAAGCACGATAATAAAGTCACCCTAAATAGGATTGTGTCGAAAGCTGTTATAGTGGATTTCAGTACCTCAAGCGGTAGGCAACGTAGTCTCTGCTCACGTTCTCATCTAATTCAAATGGACTCTCTGGTAGAGTGTTGTACTTAGTTATGTAAGTCGCAAGCTTCGAAAAATATTTATTTCAGAATCAATTCAGCATCAATGAGCTACCGTCAGTTTAGCATGGCTCTGAATAAGGCGAAATGTGTTTTGAAGTCCTTCTTACTAGTCTAAAAGATGTTCTTCCTACACAGAACGTTTGGTTTTCTCTATTTATTGACTTAGTTTACATTTTACTCGCATAGTCGCATTTGTTTAAATTCTCGTTTTTTAGAGTTGTGATGGTACCTATGAAAGGCTCAATGTTTAATTGTAATATGTTCATGGCGAGTCTGTCTGTCACTGAATGGGTCAGCGATCATATTGAGACGCAACTGCCGCTGCCCATTTAGATTCTTGTGGTGGAACAGTTAGGTGATGTTTGTTTTAGCTTTTGCTGTTTGCCCACCGTGTTGAAAGCGTTAAAAACGTTTCCACTGACGTTTCCACTGTAAAGAAGTTGTTTTCTCGGGAGATTTCCTTGAATTGTGCTCGACCCTGTTCGAATAGCTATTTGGTATTCAAGTATTAATGGCTGTCTCTTCTTACAGCCGGATGGAACAGATCTGTTTCACTTTGTCCATGGCCATGAAACATGGGCTGATTACTTAGCATACATGGAACAAGATGGCGCTTGGGGTGATCACCTCATTCTCTGTACAGCAGCAAATCTTTTTAAAACGTGCATTCATGTGGTCAGCAGTCTTGGCAATGATGTAGACATCAGGCCACATGATCCTGTTGATGAAAGCAAGCCACTAGTACTAGGACATATTCATGAGGTGCACTATGTCAGTCTTCAACCCATACAAGGTAAGAAGGGAAAAGTGCACGTCACATGCCTTTCAATTTGATAGTGATGAAGATCGATTAACATCAGTAGCGAAATTCGAAAACCTTATGTTTCTTGCGGAAAGCACCAGCTGCGTCGAAGGGTTAATCCTGGAACTATTCACGCTTCTCGAGTCACTACCATGGTTAGTTTGTTGATCTTTCTCAGAGATAACTGTAAGAATAAATTAAGCTGTCCACTTTCCTTCTGGTAAAACACACTAGTGTCTTTAGTGACTCGAAACCATTGATAAATGATAAAAATTTCGAAATTTTTGTATATATCACCCATATTCTCCAAAAAGGAAACGATTTACACAAACTGATGAGAGTGAAATAGGAAAAAACAAAAGAAAAGAAATCTCTAAAACCACTTTTATTCATCCCAAGTTTATTCATCTTTCTTGAAACGAGTTTATCCCAAAACGTTAATGTTTTAACGGGACAAATGTCATATTCCGTCTTAAGGTCAGGTAAAAGTAATCTGCTCCGGTTATTCCCAAGCAATTATTGCTTTCGTTGCAACATAATTTTTTTTTATGGAAACAAAATGTAGCGATGTAGAATGTTGACCGGCAAGTCTAGACTATTGTTCGCGACTTTCTAACGCAATAGTATTTATCGTTCTCGAATCAGAAATCAGTGTTTGGTTAATAAATTAAGTTATCGGCCTGTCATCCGAAAGGACCTGAGTGAGAACTCCTCGCCGTATTTTCAATTTTTCATTCTTCCCTGAAAGAAGAGCCTGTTCCTGTCAGTTGAGATTTTGGATCAATTTGTTGTCTCATGAAGCTTTTTCCCCATACATGATCTTGCTGATAAGGAAAGATCTCGCTCAGGAAAAATCTGAGTACCCCGTTGGGATGAGTGTCCCTCTCAGCCCTGATTTGGGCGGATATTACTTCACTAGCTGTGAGATCGGGGCCGAGCCAGATCATATACAAGTTTCACGCAGCTCGCAATGGCGATACCGGAAGGGTTCAAGAAAGTTAAAAAAGTATTCACGGTAAACTGAAACTTCGGTCTTGAATGTGATGGACTTTTATTTTCCTCTGTCATAACTGAAAGCTTCTCTTCCATCTACATTGTCTGATTCCAGGAAATACACCTAAAATTATTTTGCTTCTAGGGCTGCTTGAGCGAACCGTCCAGAATCTTCAGCGGATGCAACTCGGCGCAAGCACGGTAAAAAACAACACTACCTTGACAGAGGGGTTAACGACGGTCGTATCAGATAAGTGCTTGAGAATTTCTGACAATCGAGGGACAGGAAACTGCATGTTCCATGCCTTGTCAGAACAACTGGACACCGTCAGAGGAATCAAAATCCAACATGGCCAGTTGAGACAGTCTTTAGTTCAGTACCTGAGGAAAAACCCAAAACTGGTGAGTTGAAGCAATACTCAAGAACTCAAGAGGTTGATCAGTAGTTTGGGCTACTGTGTTTATTCAGTAGTTTGGTCTACTGTGTTTGTTTCTCTCTCTGTTACATGAGGTGTTACTCGTCCTTGCTGGGACACTAGTCCCTTTCACACCAGATATCTTTGAGCATTTTTTCAGGTTGGCCTGACAGTTTTTCCACTCGTGGGGAGAGTCACTTTGACAGTGACGTGTCTTCTCCTAGAGCTCGATAATACAGCCACCCTATAAAAGATTGTGTCGAAAGCTCTTATGGTGCAACGAAGTCTCTGTCCACACTCTCATCTAATTCAAATAGACTCTCTGGTAGTGTTTTACTCAGTTATGTAAGTCGCACGCTTAGAAAAGTGTTCCTTTCGGAATCAATTGAGAATCAATGAGCTACCGTCAGTTTAGCTCAGCTCTTAATAATGCGAACATGTTTTTTGAAGACCTTCCTACCAGTCTGAATGATTTTCTTTTCACGCAGAATGTCTTTGTTTTCTCTATTTAAGGGCTTAATTGACATTTTACTCGCATGGTCGCATTTATTTAAATTCTCATTCCGTAGAAGTGTGATGGTACCTATGAACGGCTGAATGTTTAATTGCGACAGGTTCATGGCGAGTCTGTCTGCCCCTGAATGAGCTCATGATCATGTTGAGACGCAACTGCTGCTGACCATTTAGATTCCTGTAGTGTGACACTTATGTGATGTTTGTTTTAGCTCTTGCTGTTTGCCCACCGCGTTGAAGGCGTGAGAAAGTTATCAGAGATAAATAAGTTGATTTTTTGTGGAGTTTTCCTTGAATTGTGCTCGGTCCTATTCAAAAGCTATTTGGAGTTCAAGTATTAATTGCTGTCTCTTTTTACAGCCGGATGGAACAGATCTCTGTCACTTTGTTCATGGCCATGAAACATGGGCTAATTACCTAACAGAAATGGAACAAGATGGCGCTAGGGGTGATCACCTCATTCTCTGTGCAGCAGCGAATTACTTTAAAACGTGCATTCATGTGGTCAGCAGTCACAATGATGTATACATCATACATTGTATACATTGTCCAGTTGACGAAAGCAAGCCACTGGTACAGGAACATATTCATGAGGTACACGATGTCAGTCTTCAACCCATTCAAGGTAAGAGGGGAAAAGCACACGTCAAGTGCTTTTCAATTTGAAAATGATGAAGATCAATTAACATCGCTGTGGCGACAATGTCAAACAGGGTTTACGGTATGATGTAGTTTGTTTTCTATCTGTTTGTTCTGCAAGAAGGATATATGCAACACAGAAAGAAATAACACATTGTTCAGTCTAATTCTTTCAAACCGTTTTTTTTGTGATGCAAGGGAGTAACAATAGCGACTGAGATTTGTTTTATCTGAGAATCTTGGAAGGAACCGGGTCAAATCAATTTGTGTGGCGACCTTTCAATGTACTCTGTCTCAGGTGAAAAAGCAAATTTCCATTCCAACCAGGATTACATAAAATTCTTCATCCCTTTTTACATCAATCATTTCACGTTGTCTTTTGCCGTCCTAATGTCTTTTAAGTTCCCAAAACTGCACTTGCTAGTCCACCTCCATTGTTTTGTTCCACTGGACTAGAATAACCCCAATGATATTAATTTGTTATCCTTGTTATCTAGCTGAACCCTTGAGTCCAAAATCGGAAGAAGGGAAGACGAAGACCAGATGTAATGCACTCATTACCGTACCCGTGGTTATAGTCCTTCTAGCCGTTCTCATTTCTTTCCTACTCCACAGAGGGTGGATTGGTTCCTGAAGTGTCTACTGTATCAGAATAATGTAGCGTTTCCAGTTTCAGACAAGGTTTATAATGGACTTTAAGTGTCTTTGATAGTTTTGGTAATGAAGATATAAAAAGCCAATTTCCAAGTGCCGAATCAATGGAACACGTTTAACTTCTAGTTTTCGAAAAGCTTTTCTTTTTTCTAGATTAAGAGTTCAAGCAACACTTCTTTAGGAATTGGTTGCACAGATTTTGGTAATTATTTTTGCTAACGAGAACTAATAAGCTGGGGATAGCGAAGCCGTGAACAGGTACATGACTAGTTAAACTCCCAGAATCAGCAAACAAGAGGTACACAACATGACTTACGGTAGCGTAAAACGCATTTCAAATGATACTTCTGGAGATTTTCATAGTTCGTACGTTTTTGAAAATTACGTGGGATGCCTGTGACAGACCACGTTAAACATTTGCTTGATTGCCTTCGTATTCAGATACAGAATTAGCAACGTGCTTGTGCTTCTCACTCAGTGAAGTTTAACTTCAGTGAGAAGCGCAAAAAAAGCCTGTTGGCTGGGGTTACTACCTGGATGGATGAACGCACGTAATATCCTGTGTTGTTGACTCTTTTTTTTCTCGTTGTCTTTATTTTTCGATATCATTCCTGTACTTTAAAGAGACAGCTTTAAATTTATCATTTTCCGCTTAAAACTAGAGTGACTGTAGATAACGACAACGCATTCCACGTCAAGTTGTTGGCGTCTTGTTTATTATAGTAAAACTCTTGGATTGAACAAGAAATGAATTAAGGAAACAACTTATAGACATAGTTGTTAAGAATTGTAACAAGATCATCAAATAACATTTTTTTCCATCCAACCGTTACCATATTTGTCTAGATTTATATCAGTTTCAGTCCATTCATACTGCATCCTGCCAAAAAAATGCTACTTTACTGGGCAATATAGTGACAACACAGCTGATTGGAATAAATCTCTCTTACACGGACAGAAATTAAGAATTTTTCATCCGAATATTTCAATTGGAAGTAATATTTACGGCAACATGTATCTAAAATTAAAATTTTATAGGCATAAAAATTTTGCAGGTTTAAATTTAATGCATGATGTCGATTGCACTTGACCCACCAAAATTAGTTCCTTTAGAACCCCCCTTACTTCCCCGGGTAAGGGCATATAGCGACAACAATGCGTCCATCAATGGTCGGTGGGATCCCTCCTACCATTCAGATATCTTCTTGATGGATTTGCGCGCTGAGCATCAACTCGCCATCTTTGGTGTATATTTCCACACTTATGAGGTCTTTTTTCTACATCAGTACTCACGACGATGACATGTGCACCTGTTCGATGAAATGCAAGCTTAGCCGGACCATACCCATGTAAACGTTCCAGTTCAAACTTGTTCAGACGGTTGCCGTATTCACTGAAGTGTGAACACAGGAATCTTCTGTGTCCACCACCATAACACGGCCATCATTAGCAACAATGATATCCCACGGATTCTTTATTATTCCTTCTCAAAAACTGCGAACAGACTTTACGTCATTGTTATATTCCTCCAATGATGTAGGGGCTCTCAATGCCAGTATATTCCCTTTATCATTGACTGGCAGTCTTATGTAGCCGACCTCTTTCCTCAGACGAAACCTGTGATAAAGATCAGCGGTTTCAGCAAGTCTCTGAACCCACCAGGATTTCTCAGTCCCAGGCTTCTCCAGAGCAATCAGCAGAAAGATGTTGTCTTTTACGTTAGTGGCTACGTCCCAAAAGTTTGATCGTGTATTTACGTCAACAGTATGGAGACTGAAATCTTCGAAAAACTTCCCGCTGCTGTCAAACACCTTCACGTTGTCGCACGTATTTCCTACAATGAATTCCCCAGAGGAGTTTGTAGCAATACCTATCTGGTAAATAAGCTCCTATGCCTTCCCAGTGAGTATGAGCAGAGTACATGGGAAGAGATACACATTTACCAACTGCAACAGTGACATCGTAGATGACACGATTCACGTGACGGATAGTGGAAATGATTTCGTAGTTAAAAACTATTTTTAACAGCTGGCATAGAGTGTAAATCATCAATGCACAGTTTGCATCGTACCAATGTATCCAAGGGATGGTCCACATTTTCTAATATTGGTATCATCACTCGGTACTGCATTGCTTGAATACGGTCAGACGTTTCTAGAGCTTCATTATTGTAGGCCTCTGTTGCTTTTCTTCGAGCGTCTTAAAATTATTACTTCGCTTAACAGTGATTTCTCGTTGCTAATTTATCCAGGCTATCAAGCCCCAAATTTCTCATTCCTAAAGTGAGAGAAAGTGTTTCTGCACTAACCGCCTGTGCTGTTGCTGCGTTATACCCACTTCCGAACTTTCCCTCGTCAAACTCTGCATACAAAAATTCGACTCCTTCTTTAAAGAAGCTGATACTTGTTGTTAAATCTTTCCTTGACTTTATATCGTCGATCTTACGCACGATAAGGGAACGAAATTTTTCATAAGTCAGATCGCTATCTTCAAGTTTTTCTGCTGATGGCTTCAAGCAAGGCTGTTGCAATCGAAGACATCACTTTGACGCTGTTTTGAAACGACGTTGCAGTATTCTAAGTGACATGCAGATTAAAAAACTGAATGAAAAAGGTCAGTTCACTTATTGCCTCATTCAAAAACGGTGGAATTAATTGTTAATCTCTTAGGTACTTGCAAACTGGCCTTCCTTCTCTCGTTATCGTTAGAAAAAAATAGTGAATTTTTTTAATCAGAAGAGGGACAAAAAGGCCTATTTTCATGCACATAAAATAATGATAAATTTGAAGTAAGCATATGGAAAGTGACACTAGGCAACAACCAATTCGTCTAGTTTTGTATTCATTTTTGTCTTTCATTCCAAGTAGGTGTTATCCATCACACCATTAAGACCCTCATTCTTCATTAAGCAAACAGCTATTCATTGCAAGTACTTTTGATACGCAGGGTCCAATGTTTGATTCTGAAAACGCGGCAAATAACTTCTTGACCACCTCCTCCCCGTTCACTCATGATTTTTTCCTCTCTTAAGGGACACATACTTAGAAAGTCCTCCTCTCGTTCTTGATAACGAAGATTGTACTGTAAAGGGTAACCCCGAAAATACCCGACAGTTCAGTGTGACCACACTCGGGTGCCATGCGAAAAAAACCTTCGCTATGTTTGGTCCACAACGCACAACCTTGCTTCTAACAAAAAGACCGTGCAGCCCTCAACATTTTTGGGAAAAAGGGGAACACGTGGGCTAAATTGGACTTTATTTTCTATTCAGTAAACGTAAATCAGGTGGCTCGATGTTGTGGGCTGATCAGTCATACACGCGATGGCGTACGCGTCTCCGTTCTCCAAGCGAGAACGCTTCACTTTCCGACAACGCATTGGACGGATAGATTTGGTAGCCAACAACTGTCGCACTCATGATTTCGAACTGCATATATGCTAACATGAAGTGCTATAAAATTTGAGGTAGTAAGTTGTGTAACGTAGCAAAACATGAAACTTCAGGTATTCAAATATATTGTTTCTGTCTGTTTGGATTTCATCTTTTCTTTTAGATTTAAGGTATCTCTAAAATCAAACACTCTCGTTTGATACAGTAGTTCTTTGAGTTTACGAAATTCTCAGGCAATTCGTAAGTCATTTATTTGATTCATCATTTCCACATTCTGTTTCCAACGGCGGCATGTCTGTGTCCTTCGTTAGTTGATGGGGGAGGCGGCATGTACTTTATATTCCTCGGTGGGTTTTTACATATTATTACAGTTTTACTTGGAGTGGTCTTTTGCAGTCTGTTTGAAAAAATGGCAACTGAAGAAAACGTCTGGAAAGCGAATTATGTGTTCATTTATGTGCTTCATAAGTTATATTAAGATATGCTATTTGTATTTGAACAAAAGTCGCTCGGTAGGAGAACATTGTAAAGCATACAAGCTTAAGTCAGAGGTATTCACGAATCACAGCTGCTCAATGTACCTGAGGACCAGGGATGGTACTGTTGTGAGAACACTTGCTTCCTACCATTTTGGCCGGGTTATATCCAGGACCTTGCTTCTCATGTCGGCTGAGTTTGTTGTTGATCCGCGCCTTTTCCCTCGGCGTTTTTCTTCAGGTTCTCCTTGTTTTTTATTCTCATTAAATTAACATTCCGAATTCCAATCACTTTGCGGAAAACCATACCTTGGGAAATGTGAATTTTTTGTTCATTAATTTTGGTTTGTTTTCTTGTTTCATTTACAGGCTAAAGAAAAGTATTTCGGCAGCTATCGCTACAAACCAGGAAGACCTCAGCGAAGAAACAGAACGCAACCAGAAAAAGAAAGCTTCAGATAAAACATAGCTTTTTAGGGGTCGCAGGTTTTTCGTTTTGGATGAGCTTAAGTCACTGAATTGTTATCGAGTTTTCGTGGTTAGATTGAAAGGTTGATATAGAGAAATTCTTAACTGAATGTAAAGAGTAATCCCGTACTGCTTTGGTTTTCTTTAGTTCGGTGTGTGATTGGTCTAGAAACTCGCTTAATGTGCGAAACAAATCAGATGCCAAACGAAAAAAGAATCTTGCCTGGTCGTTTGCCCTCAATTTTGGCAGTTTGCCTGTATTTCTTTTCAAACCTCTTTGGCTGATAACGATGCAGTACTCCGTTATTGTTGGTGGTTATAATTACTTTGGTTTTTGGTTTACTCCCGCCAATTGAAAACTTCTCCAAAAGCTATGAATTGCTAATTGCAAATTATGACTTGAAATTTTTTCTCCTTTCATTGGTATGAAAATTGTTTCGCGAATTTCTGTTGAGCAATTATGGAACGTCACTCATCCACGATATTCTTATGTTTTATTGGTGCCATTGTACTTTGGAGTCGCCGTTGTGTGTTCACGATCACTTTTGCTATCAGCCTTGGAAAAGAACCCCAGCCTGGGGAAGCTTTCGAACTCCTCACCGTGAGAGACTTAATGGCAGACAATGCTATCATGAGTATGATGCTTAAGTCTACTGCCATAATACTC